TATGAAAAAAAGAATGAGTAAGGCGGATCTTACTTTCTACCTAACCAACCAGTCTGAGTTCTAAAGAGAAATGATATATAAGTTTATTTTTTAAATTTATTTTTTATATTTAATGTTATGTAAGTGATATGATTAATTGATAATTAGAAAAAATATGAAAAATATTATCTTTAATATGTTTATTGATTATCATATTATTATATTTAAAAATTTAATTTAATTTTTGATCTTATATAAATTCTCAAATTTCAAATTAGCTCTACACATCCCGTCAATGCTCTTATTGATCTCAGAGCATCATGTCAACGTGCTAAGTTGACAAACAACACAGCCAGCCTCTAACTAATTTGATGATAAATAGGTTGTTTGGTGTAATTTTGTAAAGCCGTAACTTATTTTATTTAAAAAAATTGTATCAGAGTATTTAGTATAATTTTTTTATAATTTATATGATAAAAATAATTTAAATAAATTGATTAATGGGAAGGGAGCAGGGGATTGAACGGTGATCTTTAGGTTCAAAGGGATTCACCACAGGTCCCAAATCAATGATTTTCACCATTCATTTTTTAGGCCACAACGTGTTGATCATTCATGTAAAAATTTAGGTCGATAGGATAACTGTAACTACGTTAATTTATCACATTTGTCTCTTGAAAAATAGATAATTTAGTTTTTAAATAATATTTGTCTTTCATTCTTTTACAAATAAATGTCAAAAATAAATACAGTTACAATTATCAAATTGACCTACTTTTTTTTTTAGATGATTTAAATCTATTGGCCTAAAAAATAAACTATTTAAATCATCAAAATGAAACTCGTGATGAGTCTCGTGAGCCCAAACACTGTCCAATTCACAAAGTAAACTAAGGCACCGTTTGGGAAGCAAGATTTGAGGTTTTTTTGGCTATTTTAGTCACAACAATCAAAAAATCACATCCAACCCATAATCATTACACTCTTCTCTCACAAAAAAAGCCAAAAAAGTCAAAAAGTCAAAAAGTCAAAAAGTCCTTCCCAAACTAAACTTTTTAGGTCAGACTAAAATAGTCAAAAAAGTCAAAAAGTCAAAAAATCAACCCACTTTTGAAACCAAGCCTAAAGAGAAGTTCATCCATATTGAAAGAGATATTTTTAATTTTTACTTTTAATTATTAATTTTTAATTTGTAAAAAACTGCACCAAACATGCTAAAGACAACACTAACCACAATTCATGTCTATAAAATGGGAGTTGATACAATGCGAATCCTTGAAAGGTTATGCATCATCCCTACAATGAATGTAACAATAATTGCACCGTTCCACAAGTCGCAACTTTTTCCACCAAAATAATTCGCAATAATTCTCACTATAACATTTATATCATGTCATTCATAATATTAGCCTCCGTTTGGGAAGTAGATTGGCTTTTTAGTTTTTTGACTTTTTTGACTATTTTAACCTGGGCTAAAAAGCTTGATTTGGGAAGGACTTTTTGACTTTTTGGCTTTTTTGAATTTTTTTTGTGAGAGAAGAATGTAATGATTATAGGTTGGATGTGATGTTTAGTTTGTTATGGCTAAAATAGCCTATTTTGTTTTTTGTGGCTAAAATAGCCAAAAAAGCCTGAAAAAGCCCTTACCAAACACAGGCAAGCTTTAGGTTATGGATCAGAAACTTATTATTTGTAATTTCAACTGAGAGGGTGATTTATGATCTGGAGTTGGGCCGAGATATCGACCGATCAGGTTGAGAGCCCAGCAGTGCATTGGGCCGAGATGATCCACTGTTCGCCCAGAGAAGGGCTGCCAAAACTTGGGCCGGGCAGAGTTTGGACCGAGTGTGTGACACCCCGGACCGTACAGAAATTGCTCGGCCAGGAAGTGACCGGTCAGACCAGGATGCTCGGTCCGAGGATGGTCGAAGCCAGACAGGCTGAGAGACCGGCGTCCGGAAAGGCGCGGTCAGCCGAGGTAGTTGATTGACCGGCAGGAAGGCCAACCAAAGGAGGTGCCCGGGCTAGGCTTTGCCGAGATACCGCCTAGCCCGGTCCTCCACGTGTTTGTCCGGCTAGGCGCATGAGTATGAAGCATGACATGGCCGAGGAAGAGAAGCTCGGCTGCCGAGCTCCAGCTGCGAAGTCAGGCAGTTGAGGTTAGGTGGTGAATGGCATGGTTTATGCTGACAGATGGGATAGCAGAGCCACGTGTCAGGAGACGACTGTGAGTGGATATGGGGGTCAGAAGGTATATAAGCATGTCTGCGCCCCCCATACGATTGGCAATGTGACTAATGTTATAAAAAATCTTGTAACTTGTGGGGCTTTTTTTTTTTCTTTCAAATATTTATTTTTATTTAATTTTATAATTTCATGATAGCTTCAAGGGAGAAGAGCTCACCATTACTTGCTCGCAGGTGATCGGACATCGACGGAGCTCGGAAGAAAGGAATACGGGCTTGCCGGAATATTTGCTCCCCGTACATCAACCATAAAATAGTATAATACAATACAAACATTCATAATCTCCATAACACAAAATTATAATTTTCTTACTATGCACACCTTTTACCATATATTTCTTCCCATGAAATATTTTCTTAGGCATTGAATCAGTGTCATGGGGGGCATTGAATCAGTGTCTAAATACATGTATAAAGTAATAAGGACCCATAAGAAGAGAGAAGCATTGCAGAGCCTCATCCAACAATGCATATAACTAATCATCTTCCATGGAAGCAAACAAAGCCCTAAAAAAAACTTAAGGACATAGGTGTTTGGCAAGAAAGTTTTTAGCCTTTTTAAGGTTAAAATTTATAAAAAGATAAAATAAGTAAAAATAGTTAATAAGACAAATATCATATCAAATTCATAATTATTTTATTTTTTTTCTCACTAATATTACATCTAACTATAAAAGAAAATCCAATCATCTTCTCAAACACAAAAATTTTAACATACTAAGATTGGTTTGGGAAGTGGGTTAGCTTTTTGACTTTTTAACTTTTTTGACTATTTTAGCCTGGGTTAAAAACTTAATTTAGGAAGGACTTTTTGGTTTTTTGGCTCTTTCGACTTTTTTTTGTAAGAAAAGAGTGTAATGATTATGGATTAGATGTGAAAATATCATATCAAATTCATAATTATTTTATTTTTTTTCTCACTAATATTACATCTAACTATAAAAGAAAATCCAATCATCTTCTCAAACACAAAAATTTTAACATACTAAGGTTGGTTTGGGAAGTGGGTTAGCTTTTTGACTTTTTAGCTTTTTTGACTATTTTAGCCTGGGTTAAAAACTTAATTTGGAAAGGACTTTTTGGTTTTTTGGCTCTTTCGACTTTTTTTTGTAAGAAAAGAGTGTAAAGATTATGGATTAGATGTGATGTTTTATTTGTTGTGGCTAAAATAACCTATTTTGTCTTTTGCGACTATTTTAACCACAAACCATCCTGCTAAACGAACCCTAAAATAACCAAAAACTAAAATAACCTACTAAAATAACAACTTCTCAAACACCCACATTATTATAAAGGATCTGTCCACTCTTGGTTCATAATCAGACGGTCCTCAGATTGGATACATGCATCATGTGACTGAGAGGCCCACACCAAGAGATAACAACAAACAAACACTTCACTAGCATTTAAGGAAACTTTTATTTTGGGCAGTGTGGGGTTGTTTGCAGTTTATGGAACAGATTATAGCATTTTTTTTTTAATTTGAAAATGTATGACAGATTATTTAGTGACTTTTGTTTATAACTTAGGACATTTCTAAGGTTGTATCAGATTTTTCATCAAATTTAAATTGGATGAAAAATTGATAAAAATAATATTCTAACCATTTCATCAAACTGATATTAAATGAAGGGAGCGATATATTTTTCATCAAATTAAGGGAATATTTAACCTTTCATCAAATTTTACAAGTAACCGTTGGTAAATGACCGAGTGGACAACCTCCCGGACAATCGGATTTTGAGATGAATTTGATGAAAATTTACACCTCACCGAACGACTAGAGGAATTGATAAAAACCATTGAAGTACATCATATCAGATCAATTTTTTTTATCAAATTTGTATTCAAATTTAATAAAAAAATTTGATAAATGTTGTAGATGCTCTTATAAAGTCGAAATATCTTAAATAAATTTTTTAAAAAAACATAATTATTAAAAAACAAAAAATAAAAAATAAAAACTTTTACTTCATAATTATCAAGGTTGAATTTGCCAGAAGTTGCACTATGTAAGCCCAGTGAGACTCATGGTAATGAGCAATAGCGTCATGAGTACAAAAAAAATCTCACATAATGTGAAACAAATAGGTGGGATCCAGTGGATCTGTAAATTTTGTTTGTGTAACTAGACAGAAATCCAATTATTTCGGAAAATGAGTAATGTATTGGTGCGGTGAAATTGAATTGATATAGTATGAGATTTAAATATGAATGAATTTAAATTATAAATTGATACTTTTAAATAAAATTCAAGACTCACCTCTTATCAGCGTTGGTTTAGCATTTTATTGACGAATAATATTAAGAACCATGAAAAAAAATATTATAAAATATATTATGAAATTTTTTCATCTTTTTATTAATGTATGATATTTTATTATTTGTATAATCTAAAGGTGTAAAATCTTTCGTAATTATTTTTATAATATTTTTTTCATAATTCTCACCATTACTCGTCATGACTCAATCAACAGTAACCATGTGCCACAGTTATCTTCTTATTCTTGGTGGGGATGCTTCTGTTCACTCGTCTCAAAGTAACTTAATCGCATGATATAGAAGAGATTTAAAACAGGAAAGAGATAATCCTCGGCGCTATAATCAAGGCAATTGAATCAGCATTGCATTACACAAGCACCATAACAAACAATAACTTCGACCACCAGCCACCTCCTCCCTCTGCCAACTCAATATAACTGACATTCATGAAACAACAACCACATTTATTACCTGCACAAGAAGACAGAGAGAAGGACACTCCCTCTTCATTGATACTTCAAGTCTTAAAACAACCATCCGCAAGTGCACACTTTCTCATTTGTTTTCCTCATCCTCCTCATCACTCTCACTACTTCACTTTCTCTCTTTCTCACCCAACAAATGTCTGGAATTCCAGTCAAATGGCAGCTTCTTTTTCTATCAATCTATCTTACCATCAACATAGTCCTCTGCTCAGCCAACAATCCTTTAACAAAGAAGACTCACATTGTCCAAATGGATAAATCAGCAAAGCCAGAAACCTTTTCGAACCATCTCGAATGGTATGCCTCAATGATACAATCAGTACTCACTAGACCAGCAAAAGAAGATATCGAAGACGACAACAGAGTCATCTATACTTACCAGACTGCTTTCCATGGTGTGGCTGCTCGGCTTAGTGAAGAAGAAGCAGAGAGACTAGATCAACTACATTGTGTGATGGCCTTGTTTCCCGAGACTAAATACCAGCTACACACCACAAGGAGTCCACTGTTCCTCGGGCTAGAACCCGAAGACAGCACCAGCGTCTGGTCCGACAAGCAAGCCAATCATGACGTCGTAGTCGGTGTGCTCGACACCGGGATATGGCCAGAGAGCCAAAGCTTCAACGATACCGGCATGACACCGGTTCCGGCTCATTGGAAAGGCACATGTGAGACGGGTCGAGCCTTCACAAAGCATCACTGTAATAGAAAAATTGTGGGTGCACGAGTGTTCTACCGTGGATACGAGAGTGCTACGGGTAAAATTAACGAGCAAGATGAGTACAAATCGGCACGAGATCAAGACGGTCATGGAACTCACACTGCAGCAACCGTTGCGGGCTCGCCTGCCCGCGGAGCGAATCTTTTGGGCTACGCCTACGGGACAGCCCGAGGTATGGCCCCGGGTGCGAGAATCGCAGTTTACAAAGTTTGCTGGGCGGGTGGGTGTTTCAGCTCCGATATTCTCTCCGCTGTCGATCAAGCCGTGGCCGATGGCGTGAACGTTTTATCAATCTCTTTAGGTGGTGGAGTAGCATCTTATTATCGAGACAGTTTGTCAATAGCGGCTTTCGGGGCAATGGAGATGGGGGTGTTCATTTCGTGTTCAGCTGGAAATGGAGGTCCGGACCCTGTTAGCCTCACTAATGTATCACCATGGATAACCACAGTTGGAGCTAGCACAATGGATAGAGAATTTCCATCTATCATTAAGCTTGGGACTGGTACAAGTGTAACTGGGGTTTCACTCTATAAAGGAAGAAGGAACTTGTCAAACAAAAAGCAGTACCCTCTGGTTTACACAGGAACCAATTCAAGCAGCCCTGATCCGAGCTCTCTGTGCTTAGAAGGAACTCTGGATCGACATACCGTTGCCGGAAAAATTGTAATATGTGACCGAGGAATTAGCCCTAGAGTTCAGAAGGGACAGGTGGTCAAAGATGCTGGCGGAGTAGGGATGATATTGTCAAACACCGCAGCCAACGGAGAGGAGCTGGTGGCAGATTGCCATCTTCTTCCGGCGGTGGCTGTCGGAGAAACGGCGGGTAAAGCAATCAAGCATTATGCATTAACAAATTCAAAACCAACCGCGACTCTAGAATTCTTGGGGACTAAATTGGGGATAAGGCCATCTCCGGTGGTGGCAGCGTTTTCATCCAGAGGACCTAATTTCCTTAGCCTGGAAATTATGAAGCCCGATGTGGTAGCACCAGGAGTGAACATTCTTGCGGCTTGGACGGGCGAAACGGGTCCATCTAGTTTGCCGACAGATCGCCGAAGAGTGAAGTTCAATATACTGTCTGGAACTTCCATGTCATGCCCACATGTGAGCGGGGTCGCGGCATTGCTCAAGGCCAGGCACCCGGAATGGAGCCCAGCAGCAATCAAATCTGCACTGATGACAACAGCTTATATCCACGATAACACCCGCCATCCTCTGTCTGATGCCTCGACCGGTGCACCGTCCACCCCGTATGACCACGGTGCAGGACACATACATCCATTGAAAGCCCTTGATCCTGGTTTAATTTACGACATCGAGGCACAGGATTACTTTGATTTCTTGTGCACTCAAGGCCTAACATCATTCCAACTGGAAGTTTTTGCTAAGTTCTCAAACAGATCTTGCCGACAATCTCTTCCCAATCGAGGTGAATTGAACTACCCAGCTCTTTCTGCTGTGTTCCAAGAAAACAGTAAGGTTACGGTTGTGACAATTCACAGAACTGTCACCAATGTTGGGCCTCCTGTTTCAAATTACCATGTCATGGTTTCGCCGTTTAAAGGGGCTTTCGTCAATGTTGAGCCAACAATGCTGAAGTTTACGAGCAAACTCCAGAAACTATCTTACAAGATCACATTCACAACGAAATCTCGACAGACACAGCCTGAGTTTGGTAATTTGATTTGGAAAGATGGAGTACACAGTGTAAGAAGCGCAATAGTAATCACGTGGATGTCACCCATATAATTGATGTTGCAAGATATTGAACATGAATCTGGATTAAAAAACCCCAAGGCTGCTCATTTTTATTGCATGGAATGCTTTCCTTAGTTTGTTTTCATATTGCTAGTTTTCAGCTAAAGAGTAATGTATAAGAACCGCTTTGCATTTCTGTTGAATTCATCCCATTTAACTTGGAGAGATTAAAGTGGTGAGGTTGTTCTATCATAGCTTTTTGTAACTCTTGCCAATTATGGCACTTCTAGCGATGATCAAGGTTCTTAAAAATCAGGATCCTCCACAGAATTGTTGGGACAATCTCAATTGGATTATAGAATCAGATTGAGAATCTACTTTCAGTACAAAATAAAGTGTGAAATTATCAATAATGATTATGTGCATTAACTTTAACATTATCAAAGATAAATAACAAAATTAATATAATGCATTTTTGACTTGTGATCCATATAGTCTCATATTTTTTCTTACGATCAATTTAGTTTGTGTGGATGTGTAATAACTCATTTGACCGTGCACATTGAAGTATTACATTTGGAGAGTTACGTTGGAGTGTAACATTTGGAAAAAAATATATTAAGAAATTTTTTAGTGTCTTAGTATTATATTGAAGTGTTACGTTTGGAAAAAGTACTCTAAGGTTATCTTTGTTTGGCTTTTTAAGAAGGGAGATTGGACTTACAGTCGGCAGGACCCATCTAAATAATGTTTGGTTAGGGACATGAGTGAGGGTATTAACTATCCCCTTGAACTAGTAATTCCCCTCACGTGGTAGGACTAACGAAATCATGGGGGCGCTAAGATTAGAAATTAAGTAAGGAGATTAGTGAAATTTTAAATGATTTTTAAGTAAAAATAATATTTAAAAAATACTAAAAAATTTTAATTTTATATATTAATACTATCTGTAGCATCACTAATCTGGTGATGTACAAACAAACACTTTTTATCCTACATTTTCAACCTAATACTACCACACTAATAATCTCATCACTCAATCCCACCGTACTCTTAATCCCCTCCATCCTATGAAGCCAAACAAACGTAGCTTAAGGAGTCTTTTAGTGTTTTACGTTGGAATGTTACGTTAGAGGAGTTTTTTAGTGTGTTACGTTGGAGGAGTTTTACGTTTAGAAAAAGTACACTGAGGAGTTTTTAATATAGTGTGTTACATTGAACTGTCACGTTGGATGAGTTTTTTTAGTGTGTTACGTCATAGGAATTTTTTAGTATATTACGTTGAAGGAGTGTTATGTTTGGAAAAAATACACTATAAGGTTTTTTAGTGTAGTGTGTCACATTGGAGGAGTTTTTTAGTATGTTACATTGTAAGAGTATTACGTTTGTGAAAAATATATTTAGGAGTCTTTTAGTGTGTTAGTGTTACGTTATTAGAGTGTTACGTTATTGGAGTGGTACTTTTAGAAAAAATATACTGAGGAGTATTTTGTGTATTATGTTGGATGAGTTTTCAGTGTGTTATGTTGGAAGAGTGTTACTTTTGTGAAAAGTACACTTAGAAGTTTTTTAGTACTTTATTGTTACATTGGAGTATTACGTTGGAGGAATTTTTTAGTGTGTTATTGTGGACTCGCTTTTTCCCGCGCTCCCGCCTTTCGAAAAAAGGGTTTCAAAAGAAGGCCTCGTAGTTCGGACTATTACCTGTGGTTCTGAATCTAATATCACAAAGTGCAATGTGAAACTGATAATCACCAAAGAATCCAAATCCGGCAAATCTTTTTGGAAAATCGATTTTAAATCAAATAATGCCAAAATTAGATTGCTGTGCCAGATACAGAGTCGCCACCTAAATATTTTATTTTGAAAAAATTTAGAAAACCCTGACTCGTGCCAAAAGCCACGTATCCGTCATTACCAAAGTTGCCTCGGCTTGAGAACTTGGATACGAGAGGGGAAGATCCTGAAATGAGCACCCCCGCTCGCCCGATCAAAGATCGGCCTCTACTAATCATGATATGATGTTTTATAAATCTCATGTGTTCTTGTTCTGATTATTAAACTAGTTTTACCATGTGACGCATACAAGCAAGTATAGACTAGTCGCAAGAATTGGAACAAATTCAACTCATATTTGTTTCTTCGAAAATGGTTTGAATTTGCCACCCTCAAGTGGGCTTAGAAATGCGGATTTGCCACCAAACATGGTGAGCTTAAAACATGATTTTGCCACTTCGCAAAGTGGGCTTAAAACTCACATCCGTTGAATCGTTTCAATTCAAACAACAAAGCCTCCATTCACAAGCATCCATACAGTTTAGCAAGTAAGCACATAGTCTCATGGTAAGCATGCGAAACATGGCAATATGGCAATTACATTCATGCAAGTATGCTAAAGCATAAAACTCAGTGAGTACTCCAAGTCAAAACAAAAATTGGTTAGAAAAAAATGCATGATTCTAACTATATAAGATGCTTAATGCAACACATGCAAAGAATGCAATTAATAGGCACGGCTACTAATATAGCGTTTGCAACACTTTGATAGCATGCTTTGAAACACGTATTCAAAGAAATATTGAAATAACAATGCAGTTTGAATGATGCGCCGAGCCTCGGTGCATGTAAGACAAATGAATGGATGCAAGCATGCAAGCATAAGGTATGCTAATTGAAACATGATCCCTAATTTAACCATCAAAAATGGAAAAATAAAAGGGAGAAAGACGTGGGGTTGGAAGACATGCACACACGCACACACACTTATTACAACGTTATACTTTCGCGAATGAGGGTCCGAATAAATAAGCTAAGTAGCTACGCTAATTAAGCTAACTATTACAACACGAAATTAATTAACTATTGTATTTAACTAATTATTACAAACCAAAATTGAATAACTAGCTATGCTAAGCTAAGCTAATTAAAATTAAACTAATTAACTATCTAAGCTAATTAAATAATTACAATTAACTAGCTATTCTAAGCTAACTAAATCAATTAAATGGCCTCGAGGGCGAGGGACACATGCATGCTTGGTTGGTTTCCTCCCGAGAATCCACTGCCTTGCCATCGGACACCTCTGTTTGCCCTTGCTTAAACACCAACAGTGTTGCGAACTTCCAGAATACCTTTGCTCCAACTCAGGAACACACTTGTGCAAAATTTCATTTTTGGCCGATCGACTACCGACCGACCACCTCTTCACTAAACTTCTTTTTTTTTGCTGCAACAAAGAGCAAACAGAGACGAAGCAGTGTATTTTCAAGGAGTATAGATCTTTGTTGTTCTCCATTAAAACTTCAAGAAGCCTAAACACAAGGTTTGTTTTGTGAAATTCTCATAGACGGTGCCAATTGTGTGGGCACAAAATATGCATCACACACATACTCCTCATGATGAAGCTTATATCTCCTCGAACGGTGTCATATAGCCTACAAAACAACTCAAGTGAGCTAACCAGTTGGTGTGTGTTAGAAAACCCTTTCGATACTTAAGTTAGCTCTTAAGATCAATATAGGAAAAGCTCTCTTGAAATTCAATGAGTAAAGTTGCATTACCTCTTTAGGATTTACCTTTGAGCTTTTATATATTCCACTAGGTAGACTCCTAGTATGACTCTAATTCCTCGTCGTAGAGTCTTATCAAGAATCCATCTCTTAAAGGATAATGACTATCCTTTAACACCCTTATATCCAAAGTTCAAGTAAAATAACATAACTCTTAGCCTGACAATTAGGCTAAGAATACCATTCCGGTTAGTCAAGGATCGAGTAACCATACTAAATGAATTCGCCTACCTTTAAGACTGCCAAGCAACATTTTATGCCATGCTAACCTTAGACACAAGACCCAACTTGGTTGTTCAACTGAATCATGTGGCCAACTCCGCATTGCCATAACCTGCCAACCATTGTCTGGCCCTCCAAAGATATCATGATTTCAAAGCCATTAGAATGTTGCAGAGAGCAAGACCATGTCAAAGTCCATGTAACCGTAGCCCGGCCCATTGCACGGCACAACACAAGGCCCTTTTTAAGTTAGCTTGGCTCATTTGCACGCAATCTTAACCCGGCTCATTTGCACAGCTCAGATCCAAGATCTACACAAACTTAGCTCAACCCATTTGCACAATGCAAATTACCCTTTTAATTAGGTGTAATCAAATCTATTGTAATAAAGTAATAAAATGAAGACATGTCAATATAAATGAAGATTTTAAAAAATATATATGTAAATAAGTTCGGTTCTCAGGTTAGTTCAGTTTAGGCAAGGCCTAAACTAAGAACTAACTCAATCATATCGGTTTGATAATTTGAAAATCCATAACCAAGCCAATACACTCAAACATAGGGGTGAGCAACAGATATACTAATCCGTCCAAACCGATTGAACCGAACCAATATGCCGCATTTTGAACGGATGCGTGATGACGAGCGAACGGTTGCGGATTGATTTTTTCCAATTCGCCTAGTTTTGGACGAATGGCTGATTTGAGGTTCATTTGGCCGCAACTGAACCGCCAAACCGCCGAGCATCCCTAGTAATTTGTAAGACTTTGTGTTTTCAATTTGTTTATATATTCTATTTGTGTTTTCAATTGAAAAAGAATTTAAATATTCTGTCGAATAAATTATGTTGAAAAAGAGTTTTTAACTTAAATATATTTTTTGAATTGAAAAAAATAAATGTATTATTTATCTGTATATTTTAGTTTTTAAATCTAACTCTAAAAATAATAAATAAAAAAAATTATATATGCTGGTTGGTTTTTATTTTCAAAAACAGATATAGATGTAACAATACAGATGCATACAATCTCTACTACTGCTCTGTTCATGGTTTTTGTGATTTTGAATTATTTTTATATTTTAAAAGTCACAGATTATAATATTTTATGTAGATGAGGCATGCTGTGATTGTAATATGTGGATAAAGTTTCAAATTTTCTTTCTTTGGATGACGCATGCAGTGATTGTAATACTCTGTTAAGTAATTGACTGTAATTTTTTTTTTTTTTTAGAAAGTGCATAAGTTGAATTATATTGAAAATTTATAAAATTTTAAACCGTCAAACCGATTCGCATCCATCCGCCAATCCGCTCAATCCCATCTATCGGACTGGCCGACGGATACAGATTAATTTTCTTCAATTCGCCAATCTGACAGACGGATGACGAATTAAAAGTTTTATGACCGCAATCAACTTGCGCCCACCCCTACTCAAACTTCAAACTAACCCAACCCAACCCAAAATAATCAGTTTGATTTAGTTTTTCGGTTCAGTCAGTAATTTCAACACCCCTAATTACTTGAGGCATGGTGGCTATGTTACATCACCCCTTATAAATATGCACAGCAACCAATGCCATATGCTTGGTCAAATACGCACCAAGCGAGCATGGGTCCCACG